AAGGGCTTCGTTTGATTTCCTTCTATATTTTCTCTTTTTGTTGTTGTTGGAAAAGGTCCTTTATATGTTTGTTTGAACATCAACTTTTTTTGTTGGAAAAGGAACAGAAGGGGGATATGTGGAGTATAGTTAGTCTGTTTTTGCTTGATGTCATGGAAAGAAACAATTCAATAGCTCTGGTAGTTCACAGATCATCCACTGTTTTGAGTGTGTATATCGAATAATTTAAATTTTATTTTGTGGATTAAGAGTTATTTTTCATGCCCTCTCATTTTTCACATACCTTGTCTGTGCCTGCTCTGCCATTACTTCTGGTATACTTTCCCCCACATACACCACCCGTCAAAAATAAAAGAAAGGGACAACTGAGACTTTGTAGTATAGGACAAAAATATCAGTGAGTTTTCTGAATTTAATTATGTGACCCCATTGATAAGTCTGACTCTCCACTAGACCGGGATTCTCCTTTTCTCTTCTTTTTTATTTTTTCCTCATTTCTCCTTTTTTCCTTTTTTTATTGGGTGGGGGAGGGGGTGGTATGGGGGAAATTCGGGAAGGGGCCTTTGGTAAGCATGCGTTCATGTTGAAGAGGCATAAGGTGGTGGAGTTTCTGGGCATTGATAGCTTATTAGGTGAATGTATGAATCTCTATGCCGAGCTTATTCTTCTGTTTGTATTTTAAATTTTATAGTTGATTCTTTTATACTCTTTTTTACAGCCAAAATACCTGCCAAGATTTATCAAGTGAGTATATATTTTCTTAATTTGCATTTTTCTTGTAATGGTGAGTACTAGAACTATAATTCAAATTTTATGTCCAGGAAACAAATGGAGACAGGTGCCAATATAGTTACTGGAACTCGATATGTTACTGGTGGTGGTGTCCACGGATGGAACCTTATGCGCAAATTGACAAGTAGGGGAGCAAATGTCCTTGCACAGACATTACTTTGGCCGGGTGTATCAGACTTAACTGGATCCTTCCGGTATGCTTTAACTTGGAAGTAAAGAAAAATCAGTGGTTCTATGAATTGTAATGAATGTGTTTAGGAAATGTAATTGCATAAGAGGTTGTTTAGATTAAGATTACCTCTTAGTGTCTGGGCCTCTGGCTTGGCGATTATGAATCTAATAGTGTGATGGATTGGGAGATAATAATAGTAGATGTTAGACTTCCTATAATATAGGAGGGAAGTCTACATAGAAAAGCAAGAAATACACCATACTTTTGTATGGAGAATTGATTTGGTCTCAGGAATCATTGTTTTGTGTATGATTTTGTTATTAAGCAACTGAATTATCATTACGTAATTTACTCTTATACTGGAGCTTCCACGTGCCTTTTATACACTGGTAATGCTCACAGCTTTTGTAATTTGTAAAATCGGTGTCTGAAATTGAATTGCTTGTTTTGAAGGCTGTACCAGAAATCTGCACTAGAAGACATCATAAGCTCTTGTGTAAGTAAAGGATATGTTTTTCAGATGGAGATGATTGTTCGGGCTTCAAGAAAAGGTTACCGCATTGAAGAGGTAGCTACAGTCATGAATTTCCTGTTGAATACTAATTCATCCACCGTATTATTATTTGGTTGGACCAGAAAATGTGTTCTCGTTTCGCATCTTGCTATTCATTGCACAATTTATGAGCTCCGAAATGCTATTCTAATAGAAATAATGATGCAACCTAATGGCAGTTGTGAAGCATTTAGTGTATCTCTCTCTATCTATCTATCTAGAATGCTCTGGGAAATTCATTCATTTTGTGTTCTATTAGTTTGCATTTCACTCAAATCTGATTCCAAAATCTGGTTTACACTTGATAGGAGGGTGTGGAGGTCGAGGATTAAGGTAGAAGGTTAGTAGGTAGTTTATAGTGTTCACCGATAGGCTTAGTAGCATGCATTTCCCTATATATTCTTTGATTTTTATTACGGTATGTGGTTTTGTTCGCCTCAGGTATTGTATTCCGTGTTGCTATTATTGGATACTGTTTTCCTTCCTTGCTTCCCTCTTCTTCTTGCCCTTCCTGATCCGAGGGTCTATTGGAAACAGCCTCTCTACCTGCATTAGGTAGGGGTAAGATTTGCGTACAGACTACCCTCCCCAGGCCCCACATGTTGGGATCAAACTGGGTTTGTTGTTGTTGTTGTTGTTGGCCTCTGAATCACTGTTACGTTTTGAGTGAGTGATCCTTGCAGTGCGTTAGTCTTTCAACTGAGGAATTTCATTTGAGATTGCGGGTTCTGCTTTTTACTTTATTGGTTCCAGTTCTTGAAAGTTAAAAATCTCAGTGTTTGTCAGCAAAGCCATTCCATTTTGAGGTGAATCGCGTAATTAGGGATGGTGATTCTTTATGACAGGTATCTGAGCTGAGATTGTTGGGATTTAGATCTGTATCTGTAGTTGATCTAAGTGACATAGAAGTTGAAGTTTGATCTGCTACCACGTTGGCTGATATTGGTGCCCTTTTATTTCATCGTGTGATGGAATGAGCAAGGGAGAAAGGATTACCAGCCATGTACCCCATAGTTTGGCTGCAGAATACTAGTAGCTAATCAAATCTGATCTCTGTTGGTATATTCGTTAGGGTCACTATGATTAGTTTAGACGAGCTAGTTGAGACGTGGAAAATGGTGGAGACTCTACTATGTCCTTCTCGGGTGTTATCACCTTTCCACATAGAGTGGTGATGAGGAACTGTCTGTTCTTCCAGGTCACACAAAGTTATAGTGATGGGAAACAACAGAACTATTGAGTGTTTTGCTGGGGCTTCAGGGAGTTGTCAAGAAGGCTGTTGGGCTTGGTGGTTGGCATTGGCTGGTTTGAGAAAATGGGTTCAAGCTACAAAGAAATGCATTGAATGGCCCCCAGGGAGCTCAAGTGGCAAAGGGTGGTGGATTTGTGTCTTAGGTCACAGGTTCAAACCCCCATACCATGCAAAGCAAAGCCTGGTATTTAAGTGGAGAAGGGTAGAGGGCGGGCCCATTATCCACCGAGTTTCGAAGGCTGCGGTTGGTCCAAAGGATCGGCCCCAGACGGATTTCTCGGTCATCAAAAAAATAAAAATAAAAAGA